ATTGAACTTGAATATGAACTATTGAAGGTCTGGCAATTTGCTTTCATGAATACTACAGCCAAATAAAAAACATAGAGCTGTTTTCCTCTGTTACACTGGGGGTCACCATTGATGAGAATCAGCTCCATGGCAACTAGGACTTTTCTGTGAGGAAAAGTGGGTTTGGTTTTGGTGTTTCATCTTTAGGCTGGAACATTCCCCGGCAGGGGTGTGACCAGTTCCACCCATCAGTGACTCACTCCTCAGGTAAATCTTTGATAAGCATCTGATGAAGGCAGAGCATTATGTTAAACATTTGAAGAAGAACAGCTCAGTCCTGGCACTTGAACACTTCCCCATCCAACTGGAAAGACACTTGAGGATTTAAGTAGCAGAAAACAAAACACCCAGAATGCCCCAAGACATAGAACTCATAATAAAATAGCTAACTTGGAGCAGAAATGAAAGGTTGAACCAGGCTCTAGGCTAAATGTTATGCCTGTGGTTCATTGTTGTTAAAATAACTTTGAGTTTAGGGTTTCCAAGGAACAGCTGGTGAGCTTGACCCCCAACCTTGTGGTTTAAACTGACCTTGCAGCCTAGTATGTTAACCCACAGCACCACACCAGGACATTCATTAATTCCTTCCAATAATCATAATGTTGTTGTTAATTGCCACTGAGTTGGTTCCAACTCATAGTGAACCTGTATAGCATTTCCTAAGGAGCTATGGTAGCGTAGTGGTTACGAATCGGGCTGCGAACCCTAAGGTCAGCAGTTAGAAACTATCAGCCGCTCCGTGGGAGAAAGATGAGGCATTCTGCTCCCGTAAAGATTTACAGCCTCGGAAACCCTGTACAGGGTCGCTATGGGTTGGAACCGACTCAACGGCACTTAACAACACAACACAACATAGTATTTCCTAAGAGTGACTGGTGAGCTTAAACTGCCGACCTTGCTGTTCAAACCAACCTTGCAGTCCAGTGCATTAACATGCAGCACCACACCAGTCCTCCAATAACCATCATAAGGTAACACTTCTTTTTATGATTGGATTCTTGGTGTGGCGCTGTAGGATACACGCTGGACCTCTAACCATGAGGGTGGTGGTTCAAACCCACCAGCTGCTCCTTGAAAACCCTATAGAAAGCCACTCTGAGGTGGAACTGACACAATAGCACACAACAACATTTTTTTGACTGAACCCCCGTGTGGTACTTAGCACACTTGGTTTCGAGTCCCCCCAAAGTCACCTTGAAGGAAAGGTCTGGCGATCTACTTCTGAAAAACCAACCATTGTAACTCAGCGGAGCCACAGCTCTACTCTAACACGCGTGGGGTCGCCAGGAGTCAGAACTGACTCCACAGCACTGATGTGTGTTTTTTTTTTTTTTGAGGAAACTGTATAAGGGAGTTTTCAAAAGTTCAGGGACAGATGGAATGAAAAAGGTTAATGGATACTTTCCGGGAATTATCTGAAGCTCCTTTGCATATGAAAAGATAAAGTGACTTGCCCAAGGTGAAACTGGTACTGGTGGAGCCAGGGTTCAAATCCAAGCAGTTTGCCTCCAGTGTCCTCACTGGGAAGCCCTAGGTATACTGCCATCCAACAAGCCCATTATTGTAAAATTTGAGGACAGAGTGGAACTGCCCCATAGGGTGTTTTTTTTTAAGGAAGGAGACTGGTACATCTGTCTTTCTCCTGAGGAACAGCCAGTGGGTTTAAACCATAAACCTTTCGGTTAGCAAGTGAGTGCTTAACCACTGCTCCGTTAGGGCCACTTGCCATTTAGATAAATGCTATGAGGGAATAATGCACTGGACCGCAAGGTCGGTGGTTCAGAATTCTCCAGCTGCTCCTCAGAAACCCTATATAGTGTCACTATGAGTCAGAACCAACTCCATGGCTGGCACTTAGTAACAACAACAACAGGGACATCAGCAAAGGCTCCCTGGGACCTGATTTGGACCTTGAAGCATGGATAGAATGAGGCTAGGAAGAGAGAACGTGTAGATCCTCAGTTTAATCAAAGCTTTCCTTGAAATCATGACTTTCCGCCTAGAATGCCAAAGCTAGAAGACCCTAAAGATCACCTAGCCCAGTGGCTATCAGCTGGTTAGCTGATATGTGGATGTTTTTCCTCACATGAAACAGATGAGCAGAGCTCTCCCCCACTTACCTCCACCCACCACCCAGACATCCCCACTGAGCTATCCAATGTCCCTCTGATATCTGGAGGAAGGGGCAGTGGCTCCCAGAACACAGCAGTGAAGGGGACAGTTTAAACAGTGAAGAACTAGTTGGTCACTCCCCTGCCTGCCTCTTGGCTCTTTTCCCTTGAATCTTGCCATAGGTAGTTCAAACCGACATTGCTGGCAGCCAAAATGGGTAGCAAAGAGTAATCAAAAAGCAATCGGGGCTTAGAACTGCTATTGATGAAAACGTGGAGAGTTGTAATTGATGAAGGGTCTTGAAGAAAGGGCTGGATACTTTGGTTCTTGAGAGTTAATCTAAATCTTCCTTCCCTACATCCCATGCTACACTGTGGCCTGTGGGCAACATCTCAGCCAATAGAAGTTCCTAAGAGTGTTAGCTATAGGGTCTTATCGGATGAGGGGAAGGGGTGACCAGCACCATTCTCATTGTAACCTCTACCTTCCCTAGATATATGCAGGTGAAATTTGTCTGTATTCGGACCCAGTCAAACAGGAAGAGAACAGCAGAGGCAGACATGTGCCCAGCGTACTTGTTCCTGCGTTACGATGAGAAACTGGATAGACTATTGATCAGTGAGCTAAACACCAAGCATATGCATAGTGACTCCAAAACCGTGAGTCCTGGAGGACATGCTGTTGGCAACCTGCAGAAACCCCCGCCTGTGTGGCCCCCACTCAACACAGGCCTTGACGCCGAGATGTCCCCAGTTGAGCCATCATTTTGCGTAGATAAGGTCCAAGTGCCCCCAAAGCCTGAGCAGGAGGGCATCACTCCTTCTGACCTGGCCAATATAGCAAAAGTGATGAAGAACTTTCTCAGGGTAGACGAAGGCTCCATGGCCTCCCTCAGTGTGGGCAACAGCCAAGACCTGGACCGGCTTAGCTTCCAGAGCAGCAAGATGAGCGACCTATTCATCCGCTTCCCGGAGAACCTCCTACTGCACCGGGTGGAGAACACCCAGGGCCACATCCTCTACGCTTTCCTGGTGGAGAACAAGGAACGAGAGGGGCGAGTGGTACACTTTGCTGTGCTCAAGGCCGAGACAGCCACCTCTGTGGCCAAGATGCTGAGCATCTTCACGGAGTTCAACTCCGACTGGCCCAAGGTGAAGGTGGTCTTTGTGGACCCATCCTTCCCTCACCGGGCCATCGTGCAGGAGATCTTCCCTGCTGCCCGCATCCTCCTTTCTATTTATCACACAACCCGGCTCCTGGAGAAGAAGTTGCATCGTAGCTCAGCAAATGCATCCTTTAAAAGGCTCATGAAGGAAGCCCTGCGGGAGGCTGTATTTGTCACTTCTGAGACCAGCCTGCAGAACCTCTCTCATATGTCCCAAGCCCTGCTGGATGAGGAGCTCTTTAGCTTCCTGCAAGCCCACTGGTTCTCCTGTGAACTGCTGTGGTACATGCATGTCAGAAAGGGCCTGCATGCCTGTAACACTTACATGGACAGCCTCGATGTGGTCACCAGCAAGGTGTCGAACCTCTTTCGAGAACAGCAGTCTCTGTTGGACTGCATCCTGCACTTTGTGGATTACATGGACTTCTTTAACACTAAAGGCTTGAAGAATTTGCCCACAGCTCCTCCCAAGCTAAAGAGGGCCCGGCCAGCAAGCGACGTGCCACCAAGGTCCAAGAAGACTTTGGGGAGCTGTGGAGGAAGCCCAACTAGAACTTCCTGGCTCCCTGTGACAGAGACAAAGCCAGGCCCACAGCAGTCTCAGGTGCCATCTCCCCAGGGTGGCATGCTAGACACTTTGCGCCAGAGCGGCTCTGAACTGGCCTATAAGCTGTGTCATAGTGAGTGGGAGGTGGTACAGAACTCCACTCATCTGGTGGGCACGGTTGGCTCCTCTGTGGACATTCAGCTGCTGGAGGACTCCCACCAGGCTAGCAAGGACGGCTGCAGCTGTAGCTGTTCCTTTCAACAACGGTACCACCTGCCATGCAGGCACATTCTGGCCCTGCTCCACACCAGCCAGCGGCCTGTGAGTGAAGCCATGGTATGTTGCCGGTGGCAGAAGAGATACCAGCACCTCCTTGGGCCCAGAGGAGAGTTCCGGGACCCTGTTCTGGTCCCAAACACTGGCCAACCTGAGAAGCAAGAACGGCACGACATGATTCAGGACCTCAGCAGGGAGCTGGCCAACCTGCTACTGCAGAGTGAAGGGCCGGAGCTGGAGGAGCGCTGCGCCACGCTGCGCAAGATCGTGGACATCTGGGCTGACCCCTGCCAGCCACCAGAATCCAGTCAGCAGCCTGGGGACTTCAGGGAGGTGGGTCACCTCCCTTTTCTCTGGGGCAAGCTGGAGGAAGGGGAGGGGCTTCATCCTGCTGATGCTTCAGTTCATGAATGAAGTACCTGTGCTGGGGCACTGGTCCCCAGTGCCCTCTTTTTGGAAGTCAAAGAGCTCAAAGTGACAGGAGATGCCAGGGCCAGCATTTTCACCAAGGTCTACCTGGGTAGTAGGGCTAGTAGGAGAGTGACCACAGGGGGGAGAGGAGCCCCACTGTGTTTAACAGCCCTTTGAACCTGCCTCCTTTCAGACCTGCCTTTGACATTCCTCAGAAGCCTCATTCCTTATTCAAGGCCAAAGTTTGAATCAACATGCTGAAAGGTCATGACCCGTCCTACCCCCACTCCTGAGATCAGATCTGATTCACTCTACAAAGAGTAAAACCATGCCCCAGGATAGGGTGAAACAAAACAGGCCCGGGGAAAGGGCCTGCTTTCAGGGACCAAAGGAGGAAGGGTAACTTTTGTTCCTCTTTCTGAAGTATCTGTCCTTTCTAATTTGTATTCATGTTAAATAAAATTGCGTGCTGATTTGTTTTAATGAGATTAAACAAGCTGGGTGTGTTCTGCTTTTGCAGGGAAGGAAGGGGAGTTGCACTGAAGGGTGGGGGGTGGGCTTAGATTGTCTAGTAAGAGGACTCACTGCCAGGAAGTAGGTGTCTAGGCTGGACTTGTTCTATTTAAAGGAAATTGAATATTATTAATCTAAGGTGGTTATAGATCCAAACAGAACCTGATGCCTCAAATTTAAAAACTTACCATTCCACTAGTTCACCCTCCCTCCCTGAGGATGTCCTTCTCCAGAAACCTGTCTCTGCTGATCACATGTCTAAAGTCTCAAGATGAAGTCTCACCATCTTCCAGTCTAAAGAGCTTTCAGGCTGTACTTCTTTCAGGACAGAGTTGGTTGTTTTGCCAGTCCATTGTATAGTCAATATTCTTGAACACCATCAATCAAATGAATCAGTTCTTTGGTCTTTCTTACTCATTTCCTCTTTTGCATGCATATGACACAATGGAAAATAATATGGTTTGGGTCAGGCATACACCTTAGTCGTCAAAGTGACATCTTTACTCTTGAAAGAGGTCTCTTGCATCAGATTTGCCATTTGATTTCTTGATTGCTGTTTTCCTGAGCATTGATTGTGGATCCAAGTAAACTTAAATCCTTGACAACTTAAGTCTTTTCTGAGGATTTTTGCTCTCTTTATATTGAGTTGTAATCCATATTGGAGCCTGCAGTCTTTGATCTTGGTCAGCAAGTGTGTCAAGTCCTCTTTGCAAGCAAGGTTGTGTCTTCTGCATATCATAGGTTGTTAACTACTCCTGTGCGATCTGATGGTGCCAAATAGACTGAGGAAGAAACCTTAATTTTAAACTTGAGTGTCAGTACCTTGCTAGGTGACAGTTACTTTGCCCCCCCTACTCCTCTACCTGGTCAAATCCTGCCACTCTCCCCAAAATGTAACTCTATAAAAGAACCTTGATGGTGCAATGGGCTACCAGTGAAAGGTCAAAGGTTTGAACCTACCATCAGCTCTTCTGGAGACAAATGTAGCAGTCTGCTTCTGTAAAGACTGACAGCTTTGGAAACCCTATGGAGTTCTACTTTGTTCTATAGGGTCCCTGTGGAAAAAACAATCAGGCAATGATCCTTCTCAAACATTCTACCTTTAAGGTCTCTGCTTAATTCCTAAGGTAACTATCTGGGTGGGTTGAAGCAAATCCTATGCTTCTTGCCCTGTCCTTCTAGGATGACAAGGTCATCCCAGCCAATGTATAAACATCCTCATTTGCAGGGTCCTCACTTGAGACTCTATTTTGGTTAGGTCAGTAGATCCATGCTATCACCTGAGTCCTGAGGGAAGAGCAGAATTTGAGACCTTGGGCCTTAGCTTTCCCTCAAGGTGGGAGACACAGCACAACTGCATGTGCTAACTTTCCTAATCCCCTTGAGGCATCGGGTTTGAATAAATCCTGTAAACCTTCAGTCAATTCACAATAAAGTGAAAAACAAACAAAACAATTTTTAAAAAATTCCATAAAAACATTGCTATTTACTTTGCTTTTCCTTTTCGATCTTTGAGGGAATTTCAGTTAGTATGGAGTCCTGGTGTGACGCTGTGGGCTAATGCGTAAGACAGCAAAATCATTTGAATTGCAGGGTCGGTGGTTCAAGCTCACCAACTGCTCCTTGGAAACCCTATACAGGGTCGCTATCGGTCAGAATTGACTCGACGGCACTTCACAGCAACAGCGCGTCCCTACAGTCTACCACAAGTGTGACTCCGGATCCGATCCATACACAGGGCTCAGACTGGTCTGCATGCAAGTACTTTCAAGCTCTCATTGGTTATCGCCAACTGTGCCCCTAGTAACTCTAGTAACAGTGCCGCCCACAAAACGCTGGACAGCGATTGGTCCGTGACACCAACGCGTTAAAGCGAACTCCTCAGACCATTGGCCTGATTCATTGCTAAGTTGGCGCCGCTGTTGGTGATCCTAGAGGTCAGTCAGATTCGAGGGAAGAGTCCACTTGGGAGCTATGGCGACGGAGCCCGGCTGTCAATGAGTAATTATTGTTAAGTGCCGACGAGTGGATTCCAACTCATAGCGACCCTGCGTACGGTTTCCGAGGAGCAGCTGGTGAGCTTGAACCGCCGACCTTGTAGTTCAAATGGCTTTGCAATCTGGCGCATTAACGCACAGTGCCACACTAGGACTCCTGAGTGAGATTGGAAGAGGCGAAAGTGTGAGGCAACAGATTACTGGGGTCAGCCTTGACCCAGCTCCCAAAGGGACTAGAAGATTAGCTTCTTATCCCGCACCAGCCTGACTCCAATTGAGAACATCAGACGTCTAGAAGTGAGAGGTTGGTCAAAGGCTGCATTCCAAACCTTCCCTGGTCTTTGGACTCCAGGTGCAAAACAGTCAACTTCCTGAGGCAAAGCCTTGACTTCCAGCTTACAGAGTGATGGTGTGCAAGTCATGTAACATTTTTAAGCCTCCATTTCTCAACAGTAAAATGGGGACAATTTGAAGCCAAATAGAAGAAACCTTTGACTAGAACATTGTAGTTAACAGTTTTAATAGATATAAAAATGCCTATGGGCATTTGTTTGCCATATTTTATGGTTGACAGAATTGAGGCACAGAGAGGGTCACTGACCTGCCCGAGATCACACAGAAAGTTGGAGCAATTGCAGTTTTGTTGTATTTACGGGGACTAAGTGAAAGCATGAAGGTCCAGCAGCATTTTGTAAGTCTTAAGTGTTCCACATATTTTAAATGCAGTACAGTCATATGCAATGCTATATTGTTGTTAAGTGCTGTCAAGCCTGTTCAGACCCATAGTGACCCTGTATAGGGTTTCGGAGGAGCAGCTGGTCAGCCTGAACTGCCAATCTTACAGTTCAAACAAACTTTGCAGTCCAGCACATGAACCCACAGCGCCACACCAGGTCTTCCAGTGCTAACCTATAATACCTATTTAAATCCCATCAAACCAGTTCTTTCTGTGGTTGGTTGCTAATCATTTGTGTCTCAGTTCCTATGTCATCTCCTTCCCCTGAGAGTTGTCTCCCTTACTCCCTCTCCCGGCTCATTCTGGCCTGTTCCCTGTGACTAGTGGGGAACACCACCGACCTTGTGGTTATCAGTCCAGTGCTTATCCAGCAGTGCCATACCAGAACCCCTGACACAGTAAGCATTCAGTACCACGGTCTGGATGAATACCTAATGCACACCAAATCCCCAGTGTTTGCTTAAGCCTGTTTACCTCTCCGTAGGCCCATCTTTGGAACCAGATCTTGAGACTACACCTGTCCTCGGCCTAAGTTTAATTGGAGCTTGAGAAACAGAATCTCGTGGACAGAAGCCTCAGGGGGATCGTGTTTGGATCTCAGCTCCCCCATGGCGTTGACCATGCTGAATGCATTCCCGATTAAGGATCCCAGTCCACTCAGGAGTACCCAGTTACAGACCCTCAACTACCAGAACTGCACCATGCATGGCATGTTTGCTCAGTTCCCCGAGGTCTTATTTATTCACCGGACCTATAACCCAAAGGGCAAGGTGCTGTATACTTTCCTGGTGGATGGACCACAGGTACGACTGCAGGATCCCCTTGCCCGGATCGTCTACTTCACCATCCCTGCCAAGGAGGATGCTGAAGGCCTGGCCCAGATGTTCCAGGTGTTCAAGAAGTTTAACCCAGCATGGGAGAGAGTCTGTAGCATCCTGGTGGATCCCCACTTCCTCCCACTGCCCACTCTGGCCATGGAGTTCCCTGCCGCTGAGGTCCTGCTCTCGGCCTTCCACATCTGTAAGTTTCTTCAGGGTAAGTTCTATCAGCTGTCTCTGGAGCAGCCGGTGGAGGGGGTGCTCTTGACCACCCTGCAGAGCACCATGTGCTCAGCCACCGCTGGCAACCTGAGGAAGCTGCACACGCTCCTGAGCAGCAGTGTCCCCCCGGCCCAGCTGCCTGGCCTCCACTTGCACTGGCTGCTCAATGACCGCATCTGGCTGGCCCACCGCTGGCGGAGCCGTGCCGAAAGCAGCCTCTACTTCCAGGGCCTGGAGGTCAGCACCCGCACCCTTAGCCAGTTCTTTGGCACCACCCCCTGTGTGGAACAAGGCATGGCCTCCCTGCTCCGATACATGCAGCAGAACTCTGGAGACAGAGCAAGCTTCAGCCTGGGTCTGAGTCCTGCCCCCTCAAGCACTCCCACTGAAAGCCCCCACGCGGTGCAGCTGGTAGAATCCTGCATCCAGCACTCCCTCAATGCTATCTGCACGGAGCCAGCCACACAGCTCTGCCTAGGCGAGTTTGCAGTTGTCCAGAAGTCTGTGCACCTCATTGGCTCTGGCTCTGAGAAGGTGAACATACAGCTCCTGGAGGACACTCATCGGGTGCAGCCCCAGCCCCCTGCCAGCTGCAGCTGCTACTTCAACCAGGCCTATCGCCTGCCCTGTCGCCACATCCTGGCCATGCTCGGGGCCCGCCATCAGGTGCTGCAGCCAGAGGAGCTGCCGGCTCGGTGGGAGGCAGGCCAGGCCGCCAGTCTGGAAGTCATCCTGGGCAGCCAGTGGAGCGAGGCCCTGGAGAAGCGCCTGGCAGTGGCTTTCCTCACTGAGGAGGTGGGGCGGCTTCTGCGGCACTGCAGCCAGGAGGAGTTTGAGCGGCGGTACAGCACCTTGCGGGAACTGGCCGACAGCTGGATCGGCCCCTATGAGCAGGTCCAACTCTGAGTGCCCAGTGTCCAGACTGCACCGTCTCCCTGCCACATACATACTCACACACTCTTGCAAAAGGCAAGACAAATCATTCTTCCCAGGAGACCTCTGCACTGAATGAAGATTTAGGACACCGGATAGTGAAGTGTGGGCTGCGTGTGGTTATAGCTTCCGGGTCATGAGGTGACTCATCTGCCCCATCTCCCAGAAAGGAGCAGGCCTAAAAGCATGTCCTAAGAGGCTCCCCACCCAGGGAATTGACCCAGCAGGCTCCCAGTATTTCCCTGCCTCCCTCATCCTGGGGTCATTAAAGTTGGATGCTCTACATTCCAGCTCTTGTGTTGTTTCTTTTTTTGTCGTATATTCACTGCCATTCAGTTGGTAATGACTTATATGTGGCACTGTAGGATCAGCACTTGACTGTGAACCACAATGCCTGCAGTTCAAACCTACCAGCTGCTCCTTGGAAATCCTATACAGAGTCACCATGAGTCAGAAGCAACTCAACAGCACTTAACAACATAAGGCAGAGTAGAGCTGCCCCTTGGAGTTTCCAAGGGTGTACATCTTTAGGGGAGGAGCGGGTTGCTTTGAACTGCTGACCTTATGGTTAGCAGCTCAGTGTGTAAATAACTATGCCAGCAGGGTCCCTTTGTTGTTGTTTAGGCTGTATCTGTATTCTGTATACTACAGAATTGTTGTTAAGTACCGAGTCAATTTCCACTCATAGTGACCCTGCACAGGGTTTCCAGGCTGTAAATCTTCCCGGGAGCAGAAAGCCTCATCTTTCTCCCACGGAACGGCTGGTAGTTTCGAACTGCCAACCTTGAGGTTAGCAGCCCGATTCGTAACCACTATGCTAGGCTTCAGATATTACATGCAAATCCTGGCTCGTCCCCCACCTGAATTTTGAGTCCTGGTTCAGCCTTTTACTAGCTTAGGGACCTCAGGAAAGTCACTCCTCTGAGCCTCAATTTGTTCATCTGTAAAAAATGGATCCTCACAGGGTTCTTAGGATCAGAGACAGTGGCCATGGGGTGGGCCTGGTGCCTAGTTAAGTGCTGTTGAGTCATTTCTGACCCATAGCGACCCTGTATAGGGTTTCCGAAGAACAGATGGTGAGCTTGAACTCCCAAACATGCAGTCCAAACGGCTTTGCAGTCTGGCACATTAAACCACAGAGCCACACCAGGGCTCCCTGGTACCCAGTTGTTGTTGTTGTTGTTAAGTGCCATCGAGTCGGGTCCAACCCATAGCGACCCTGTACAGGGTTTCCTAGGGTGTAAATCTTTATGGGAGTAGAAAGCCTCATCTTTCTCCCGCGGAGCTGCTGGTAGTTTCAAACCGCTGACCTTAAGGTTCGCAGCCCGATTCATAACCACTACGCTACCAGAGCTCCAATATGCTCAATATGGTACCCAGTAGGTGCTCACAATATGCTCAATATGGTACCCAGTAGGTGCTCCAATATGCTCAATATGGTACCCAGTAGGTGCTCACAAATGTGCTCATTTTCTCCCTTGTCTCTGGTCCCATTGTCCACCCTCTATAGGCTGGGATGTTTAAGACAAGAGGGAAATTCACATGGCTTAGATCAGGACTTTGTAGGAGACATTTCGATTGCATCTCCAAGACAATATAAAAGTCTCCACTCTTCAAGCAAGACTTCCTATACCTAAAATCATTTCACTCTGACAAGACCTAGCTCCTGACTAGTGGTATCTGGAGAAATTCCCCAGGGTCTGGGCCCCTCATGATGGACTGGTGTATTGGTCAGAATGGTTCAAATCACCACTCTCTCCATCCCTGCCATATTGTTGTTAAGTGCCGTCAAGTTGATTCCGACCTATAGCGACCCTATATAGGGTTTTCAAGGAGAAGCTAGTGAGCTTGAATCACTGACCTTGCAGTTCAAATGACTTTGCAGTCTGACGCATTAGCCCACAGTGCCACACAAGGACTTCATCCCTGCCCTTGTTGTTGTTGTTAAGTGCCGTTGAGTCGGTTCCGACCCATAGCGACCCTACCACCCTTCGAAAAAAAAACCATACAGAGAAGCCACCCTATGTGTCTGGTGCTATTTCATCCAGCTACAAGCAAGCGCTGGGAGGTAGGCCCCTCCTGTTTCTCACTAGGGGCATCTGCCCAGAAGCCACATGGGTGGGCACTTGCCCCCACTGCATGCCTTCCACCGCTCCCTCTGGGTGGGCCATCATGAAAGCTTGAGCTGCCCGGATCAGGTCCTCTTCTCGCAGGCCTGGCACAGGCACAGTGGGGATACCAGCGATCATCATGGCCAAGGTTAAGATGCAGATGTCAGGCTGTGGACGGGCTTCCTGCCCCCCTGATTCTGAGGAAGCCTGTGGAATCCTTGTTGGCAGCTGGTATAGCAGCAGGGGCCCAGGCCGGCTGGAGCCACCCGGCTGGGACACTCTGCCTCCAGAGCAGCCATTCTTCCAGTCCAAGCTCTCTGGCTGTCTCACAGGGGGGAATTTGTGGCAGTATTGGCCATACTCCTTCCGGCACAGTGGCTCCCAGCTAGCCCCCCCAGGGCAGCCCCTAGCTTCCGGCACGGCCAGGGCTGGACCCCAGGCCTGGGCAGAAGGTGCCAGTTGCTCAGCTTTCTGGTTTAGTGGGCCAAGCCCACCAGGGGCCACCACCACTGGCTCTGCAGGGCTATACAGACCAAGGGAGGAGCCTGGAGAAACAGCCCCACCTGCAGAGATAGGAATGAGATGGAAGGTTAGTCTTGGTCTCCTTAGGAGGCCCTGAGGGGCAGGGCCTAGAGTTGGAGCAATAAGAACAGGAGCCGTTAAGACCAGCTCAAGAAGGCTTGAGACTGAAGATCAGGTGTTATCCATACCCTCATATGCCCAACACTGGGTCATGGAGAAGTGTTTGTTGATTGAATGAACGAGCAAGTGGGCAGTTAATGGCAAGGACTTTTGGAATGGCTTTTCTTCAAAAAGAAGTGATTCTAAGACCAGCTCAAAGATGTCCAGCAGAGCCTCCCCCTCCCTAAAGTCAGAGAACAGCTTCTCAGGGGAAAGGTGTACCCCCAGCTCTCATTCCAGAAGCCCCTCTCTCACCTTGGCCAGAAGGCAGAAGACCCAGATGAGTTTGTGGAGACATAAAGTAGGACATGGCCACCCCAGGACTCCTGGTTGTGAGGCAACAGTCATCTGCTTCTTATGCTACCCTCTCCACCCTTCTAGAACTTCACCTCACAGTCCCACCCCTTTACACCTGGACCCTACCTCACAGCACTGATGACTCGTTCATTCTGAGACCCATCTCTGTGACAATGGGCTGGGGTTAAAAGAGCACTGGACCAGGAACTGGGTGTTCTAGGTTCTTGTCCTTACCGTGGCCACCTTCATCTGCACAATGCAGATGGTGACGGCCCACTCCCTCACCAAGAATGATGTGGATGAAATGAGATCACTGGTATGGAAACAAATGAGCAGAGACAGTGCTTTGTGCCCTGTGGCATGGGAGTAACACTCTGCAGCTCTGTACACATTCATTTGCTGTGTGTTCTTGGGCAAATGCACCCTCACCTCTGGACCTGAGTTTCTCATCTGCAAAATGAAATGACTGGTCTAGAGCACTGGATCTCAGCCTAGGCTGCATATCAGAGTCTCTTGGGGAGCCTTTCAAAATCATGATGCCCAGCTTCATGCTAGACCAGTTAAATTAGAATCTAAGGGGATATATCCAGGCTGAAGACCTCTGGTCTAGGAAATACCTCATCACGGCTGTACATTAGAAACTCTAGCAGAGCTTTAAAAAGCAACAACAAAAGAGTCTGGGCCTAATCCCCCACCAAACTGCATAAGAATCTCTGGCAATGGGGCCCAAGGCATTAGCACTCGCAAGGATCCCTGTGGCTCTAGTAGTAGCCTGGCTAATAGCCACTGGGGTCCATGACCTCTCAAACACTCTGACTGGCTCGGACCTGTTGGCCAGTAATGTTCCTAAGGGAAATGCCCTTTACCAACTGCAAGGGCAAGTTGACCCTCCAATGACCAGAGTGTTCGCATCAGCTGTGTTTATTTTTGGCCCTTGGCTGGCAGTCATGTGACCAATGGCAGACAAGTGGCAGTTCTTTGGCCAGCAGGTGCTCCAAGAGCCCTGGTGACTAAAAGTCTTCACTCATACTTGCAGAAATCCTTCAGTCCTTTGGGCAGCTGGAGCCTATCAATGGCCAGCCGATGCACCACGCTCCTCTGGATCACAAGGCGGCACAGAGTCTGCAGGGATGGCACTGGGGAAAGAAGGGAAAGGAACTGGGGTAGGGGTCTGATCTATGTCTTGGACTCGACTTTGCTGTTCACTTGGACAAGCCCCTTCTGCTCTCTGGGTCCATCCTGCTGTACAATCTGCTAAGCCCTGGTGTGATGCTGCACCTTGGAGAACCCATACAGGGTCGTTACGGGTCAGAACTGACTCGACAGCATTCAACAACAACAAAAAACCTGGCTGAGGAGTCCTGGTATGGTGCTGTGGGTTAAAACACAAGGTCAGAGGTTGAAACTCACCAGCCACTCCTTGGAAACCTTAACAGGGTTGCTGTGAGTCAGAACCAACTTGACGGCATGTAACAACAACAACATGCTGAGATAAACACCCTGTAAACTCCTAGGATGCTGCAACCAGGTTTCTATTACAACAATCAGCTTCCTCAGTTTCTGGGGATTGTGTCTGAGATTGACCTCTGCGGCTCCAGCCTCCAGCACTGGCCCCACACAAACTGAGTTCAAGTTCACTTAGTTTCATACAGGGAGATCACAGGATTGCAGTGCACCAGCCAGATCTCAGGATTAAAGTTCTCAGTCTGGGATCTGTGAAGCCTCTAAACTGGTCTGCCCAAACCCATGAGCATTTTTCGGAAATAGCACACAATTCTCCAAGAGGCCCAGGATCTGAAATCCGCTCAGAACCCCTGCCACATGTTAATACAAAACATATTTTCAAAAACCAGAAAGGAACTTTCAGGACATTCCTATTGGTAACAATCAAAGATGGCTACACTGAGACCGGGAGAAAGGGAGTGATTTAACTAAGATCCCAAGCAGTGGTAGACTGTGTGGTCAGATTCTATGATTTCTAAACTAATGTTGGACCGAGGGTAAGTTAACTGACTAGGGAGTCTCAGCAGGGTTCCGGCCCCCACACTGGGCAGGACCTGTAGCCGTCTCGTGGGTGTGATACCTACAGCCATACTCCAGCTGGACCAGGCGCACGCTCTTGGTGGAGGCGAACACGTCCACCACTGCGTAGAGGGGTCTGGAGGCTGGCAGCCCTCGGGCGCTGGGGCCCATGTCCTCGCCATTAATGACAATGTGCATGTCGGCCGTGCCGTCGGGGCGCGGGCAGAACAGGACACCCAGACGGCTGCGGCGCGCGGTCGGGGGCAGCACGTTTAGCTCGTAGAGCTGGTCCAATAGGTGACTGAAAAGCCCTGGTCGGCTGCGGCCCACCAGGCGGTCCCGGGGAATGCGAAACTGCTCAATGCACAGATAGGGTTCCTCCAGAAGGGCCGGGGGTCGGCTAGGGAGCAAGGCCTCCGCCTCTGGCTGGCCCTCTGGGGGCACACGGTTGTGGTGGCGCGTGATGGCGAAGACCCAGGTGTGGCCGAGGCTGACCAGGTCAGGCAGCGAGAACTCGGGCACCGCAGGCAGGCTGGCGGGGTCGAGTGCAGTCAGGCCGAGGCGCAGGTGCCCACACCAACCCAGCTCCTTCTCCTCGATCTCCACCAGGAACACCTGGCCTGGGGCCAGCGGCTCGCGACTAAAACACACGCCGTGGGCGAAACTCTCCACGCGGGTGGCCCGCGTCCCAGAAAGGTCCACGCGGATGTGGGCCCCGTGCACCGGGTGGAAGCGGGTGGGACCGGGCTCGGGGCGCCCGGGTCCCCAGGGCACACGCAACTCCCCGGCGGAGGCAGTAGCCATCTCTACCGCTGAGGGTGGGCCAGGACGCGCGGTGGCTATTTTGGGCGGCGGGCTCAGCTGGTGACCGCGGGGGCACCAAGTAAGGTATTCACCCCCCTCCCGGCCTCCGCGGGGCTCTGCCCGGTGGTCCTAGCGCCGCTGGCTCGGCCATCCAGCTTAGAACCGGGCCCCACGAGGGAAACTCCGGGTGGTCTACCTAAGGTCATGTGATCATCAGGCTACAACCCGCGAAACCCATGTTCCCTGCACTGGCTTGGGTCGCCTTCGTCCCCCACCCAGCTAGTAGAAACCAAAGGAGGGCCCGAGAGACCGTCACATGACACCTGAGCTCACGTGACTCTGCGTACACATGATTTCCAGTCGCCGGGCGCCTCCTGGAGAGCAAAGACGCTAGGAAACCGAGGTAAAGGGACGCCAGAGACTGGCAGGGATCCCCGAGTCTCCTGTCTAGGCCCGGCTCAACGGGTGGGAAGCTGGGGCCGGGACCAGGCTTTCGTTACTCGGATGCCCATAGGAGGAAGCGACTGCACGGAAGCTCGGAAGAGCGAGGGAGCAAGTAAACAGTAGGCGCCTGCTTCTTTCTCCCGCAGATGTTCAGTGCCGCGCTGTCGCTGTCCCCCTTACTTCTGCTGCTCCTGTCCTGGACGCCCGGAAGCCAGGGAGCTCCCGCGCAGGACGAGGTCCAGGACCTTCCCGGGCTGGCCAAGCAGTCGAGCTTCCGCCAGTACTCCGGCTACCTCCAAGGTTCCGGCTCCAAGCACCTGCACTACTGGTCAGCGGCCCTGCCTCCAAGGACGGACTAGAGGGGGCCACTGAGATGCGTTACCAAGGGAGATGATGGGGGAGGGGTTCTGAAGACCCCTGAGAAAGCCTGGGAGCGGGGAGAGCTCGAAGCCCCCGCCCCACCGGCACTGACCCTACCAGGACCCTCTTTCCAGGTTTGTGGAGGCCCAGAAGGATCCCCAGAGCAGCCCCTTGGTACTATGGCTCAACGGGGGTCCAGGCTGCAGCTCCCTCGATGGGTTACTCACAGAGCATGGCCCCTTCCTGGTGAGTGGGCAAGGGACAGGGCAGAAGTGAGCACACAGCTTTGTGATTTTCCAAAGATTTTCCTTTCTGCTTGCACCTCAGCTGCCGAATCAGCACAATTGGTTTGACCATGAGGGTTTTCTACCCTCATACAAAGTGCCTCCCTCCCTAGCATGGTGCCCCTTCCCTCCACCCAGTTGCCTTTAGCACTTACTCGGCGATCTCTTTCCTTCTCAGATCCAGCCAGATGGCACCACCTTGGAGTACAACCCCTATTCTTGGAACCTGGTATAGCCAAAGCTGTGGGCCCCAGCGGGGGAGGGGTGCCTGGGGATTGGGGAGGGGGGACACTCTCCAACTGGTTTTCTACTCCACTCTAGATTGCCAACATGTTGTACCTCGAATCCCCAGCCGGGGTGGGCTTCTCCTACTCTGATGACAAGTATTATGTGACCAATGACACAGAAGTGAGTTTGGCACCCACCCACTACCTGCCCCAGCTCTCTTGGCTCTCTAAAATGGCATGACGCAGGGAGAGAGCATGATGTTGGAGCACATTTTTTGGTTCTGCTCAAGCTCCGTTGTATGGTGTAGGCTAAGAGACTTCCTCTTGCACCCTCTGGGTGGGTTAATGTCTCTCTATCTCTGAGGATCTTTCCGTCAAATACCTGTCTTCTGATTATCTCTTGTCTTGTTTTCTGCAGGTTGCCCAGAGCAATTATGAGGCCCTTAAGGATTTCTTCCGCCTCTTTCCGGAATACAAGAACAATGAGCTTTTCCTGACAGGAGAGAGCTATGCAGGCGTCTACATCCCGACCCTGGCGGTGTTGGTCATGCAGGACCCCAGCATAAATCTGCAGGTGTGGGAGGGGAGGGAGGCAGTTCTGGCCACAGCTTTGCAATTAGCAACGTCAGAAAGGCTAAAGCTCTCACCCCATCCAACTCAGTCTCTGCCACAACGTCCCAGCCACTGTGTGTCTTCTGCTTGCATGCTTCCCATGTGACCACAAGTTCTTTTTACATGGCGTGACCTCACCCACCCCTACAACCACTCTGGGTTGTAGCTTCCAGTTTGCTGAAGATCTGGGTGTTGGTCAAGGGAGGCTCCTCTTCCTCCTCCTCACTCTCCTGATTTCCTGAATACCCTTGGGTATTTCACAGGGCCTGGCTGTGGGGAATGGACTCTCCTCCTATGAGCAGAATGACAACTCCTTGGTCTATTTCGCCTACTACCATGGTCTCCTGGGGAACAGGTATGGGAGAGGGGTAGTTGGGCAATCTCCAGGGTGGGGCCAGTCACAAGCTTTCAGATGTGACTAGGAGATGCATGATCTCCGAGGACCTTGCCCTGGTTTATGAGCAGGAAGTGGGGGCTGGGAGTGCTAAAAGGGTTTGGAGCTAAAATGCCAATAATTAGAAATCATAATTTAAAGGGACTAGGAGCTGATGTGAAAGGAACTCTGGTAGCATAGTGGTTACGAATCGGGCTGCGAGCCACAAGGTCACCAGTTCGAAACTACCAGCTGTTCCACGGGAGAAAGAGGAGGCTTTCTGTTCCCATAAAGATTTACAGCCTCAGAAACGCTGTACAGGGTTGCTATGAGTCGGAACTGACTCCATGGCACATAACCACCACAGGACCTGATGTGAGTCCTGGTATGGTGCTGTAGGATAAGCATTGGACTGTTAACCTCAAAGTCTTTACTTCTGTCCCATGAGCTGAACCTTGGAAACCCTAGAAACCCTATACAGGGTCGCTATGCGTCAGAACTTACTCAGTGGCACTTAACACACCGAGGGTTGACGTGGGAGAAAGATGTGGGGGTCTGTTTCTGTAAAGAGTTACTGCCTCAGAAACCCTCGGGGGGTACTTCTCTGTCTTGTCAAATCACTATGAGTTGGTATCTGCTTGATACCAATGGGTTGAGTTCTGGTTCGGAAAGAAGGCTGGCTGCTTGGTCTAGGGGCCACTCCTTGGGTGCTAGGTTTAGTGACCTACATCCCACATCCCTGTGATGGATTCCTAGTCCCCTGGGATCAGGTCCTGGCTGGGCTTGGAGGGAGGAACTGGGATGCTCACCTGCTCTGCCTACTGAGGGCCTAAGCACTTTTCCCTCTGGTTATTCACAGGCTCTGGTCTTCCCTCCAGGCCAAGTGCTGCTCTCAGAACAAGTGCAACTTCTATGACAACAAAGACCCTGAATGTATGAACAATGTGAGGTTCTGCGTCAGTCCTGCTAGCCACCCCTCATCCTGGGGACAGGACACCCCCCCACTTGCCTTCCTACCCTGCACCTTTCAGCCACCGGTGTTCTCTGGGATACATAATGTGCATAATGTGTGTGTGTGTGTGTGTCTCCCCAGCACCATCAGCATTGACCTTCTGGGCAAACCGTAAAGCCCCTGAGACGGGGAAAGAACTTCACATTTCTCAGACCTCTACCCTGTGCCAGGCACTGTGCTAAGAACTTCCCCATAACTTTCAGGATTCTCCTTCCAGGGAGATTGAACAGTCCTATTCCCCAGATGCAGAAACCCAGGCTAAGAATGGTGACAGCGTTAGCTTCAAGTCCCAGTGCTAAGAAGTAGTGGGGCTGGGGTTTGTACATAGGGCTGGCAGATTCCTTTAGAGCCTCAGTTTCCTTTCTGGGCAAAAAAAAACACCAAAAAAAGCCAAGGCAGGAGAATGACAATAATTGAAGTACAAGAGAGGTGAAAGTTGGTGAGGGCCCAGAGAGAGCAGGGATCAGAAAACCATGGCAGCTCCGCGTGTGGTTGCAGGTGAACGAAGTGTCCAACATTGTGGGAAAGTCTGGCCTCAACATCTACAACCTCTATGCCCCCTGTGCCGGCGGGGTGCCTGGTCATGTCAGGTAGGCCCTGCTGTGTGTCCTCTGGGCCCACCTCAGCCACATCGGGGGACTCTGGCATCCATACTTCCCTGTCTCCCCTGCAGGTCTGAGAAGAACACTGCCGTGGTCCATGATTTGGGCAATCTCTTCACTCGACTGCCACGCAAGCAAACATGGCATCAGGTGTGCAAGGGCACAGGCTTCCTCTCAGGGCAGAGCGGGTCACGCCAGGGAAGGGGAGGACAGCACTGACCTTCTGTTTCTGCCCCCCAGGCACTGCTTCGCTCTGGGAATAAGGTGCACCTGGACCCCCCCTGCACCAACAGCACAGCCCTTTCCACCTACCTCAACAACCCTTACGTGCGGAAGGCCCTACACATCCCCCAGCAACTGCCTCCATGGGAATTATGCAAGTGAGACTCCAGGGTCGCTGAGGCCTGGCGGGTAGCTAGTGGCTGGGGCTCATGGTCCCAAAGTTCCAGGGGTCCTCAGGCTAATGTTTCCTCACAGGAGCAGAGTTGGGCATTTGTGGACCACAGTTAGCTGTCGCCCAGGCTCTTGAACGTCCCAGACCCCTGACTTAATTGATACTCAGCCACTTTGATTAAAGATAGCCATATTAATTACTAAAACATTGACTAACCTAAAAATCCTCTGCCATCAAGTTGATTTCACAGCCACTCTCTAGTGGGTTCGGAGACTAAATCTTTACTGCAGCCGACAGCCCCAGCTTTCTCCCAAGGAGCAGCTGGTGGGTTTGAATCACTGACCTTTTGTTTCACAGCCCAGCTCCTAACCCATGGCACCCTTCAAATATTGATTACTCCTGTAGTAGTTAGTAAATACACACTGTCCCAAGCCCCACTTAAGTTCCACCTCAACACTATCCCAGGTGCCCAGGTCACCTTTGAACCAGCAGGTAACAGAAATACCCAGCCCAGCCCAGCAGGGCTCACTCTGATTGATGGGGGCCCAAGTGCTGCTCTACTACGGCTCTCACACCTGCTGGTCCCTAGGCTCAAAATACCAGTTACTTGCCCAGTTATCATGATAACCAATACATGTCCCAGTACATGTCAGGATGGGGGTGGGTGGAGGCTCACTTAACTCCACGAGAGGTGACATGCCCAAGAAGGGGACTGAGGTGGGAGAGGTGGTTCCTTTGGTTGGTTCCCCCCCCCCACACACACACACCCTGGACTTCTTTGCTCCTGGCAGCTTCCTGGTGAATTTGCAGTACCGCCGCATCTACCAGACCATGAACACCCAGTACCTCAAGCTGCTCAGCTCACAGGTGAGGGGACACAACTCATGGCTCCCTTCACAGCTCCCCTCCAGACACTGAGACACCCCGAGGAGGGGAAGTCACTTGCCTGAGACCTTGCAGTTGATAGTGTTGGGATTGGAACCGGGTTTGTTCCCTGCTACTCTGCTGGTGAAGTCTGCGGGGTCTTTAAGGTGAAGCCAGCCAGTTACCTTGCATTACAGATGGACAAATGTAAAGGAGGTCCAGGGTATGGGGGAGGGTCTTATCCAAGGTCATGCAGGAGGCATGGGCAAAGCCAGGTTAGACCCAGAGTCTCTACAGCAGTGGTTAAGAGCATGGGCTTTAGAGTCAGATTGCCTGGGCATAAGCCCCTTTCCTTGTCATGTGACCCTGGGTGAGTTTCTTAACTATGTTGAGCCTCAGTTTCACCATCTGTAAAATAGACAATCACCATACCCTGCTTCCATTGATAAAGCGTCTAATAGTGTGTTAGGCATGTAGTAAGCAGTTAGGAAGCCCGAATGTTTCTTGGTTCATGCTATTTAGCTGGGTCTCTTGAATCTCCAGTAGGAAAAGGCTTCTAACTGGGGTAGGTGTGGGGCCTGGACTTGTTCTTGAACCCCATTTATCCCTGTCCTGCTTCAGAAGTACCGGATCCTGATCTACAATGGAGACGTGGATATGGCCTGCAACTTCATGGGGGATGAGTGGTTCGTGGATTCTCTAAACCAGAAGGTAAAGCAGGACTTCCCAATCCTAGGTAAAGGCTGGGGGCTGGGGGCCGGGGGCCTGGGTGTGGCTGACAGCTTGGCTTCAGCCAGCAGAGGCTAAACCTGCAGAGCAGTCTTAGCTTCTGGAGGCCTCTAGCAGAGATGGGGCTACTGCAGGCTGGTAACTCTCCTGGGGGGCGGGGGGGCAGGTGGAGGTGCAACGGCGGCCCTGGCTCGTGGGCTACGGGGACAGTGGAGAACAGGTTGCTGGCTTCGTGAAGGAGTTTGAAAACATGGCGTACCTCACCATCAAGGTAGGACCTGGCCTGACCATGGCCAGCTCTGGGGAGAGACCTGCCCCTGCTAGGCCAGGCTACCATCTGGCCTCTGTAAAGACAGGTATTTCCAGGGGGGTGGGAAGGGGTAGGAGACTCAAGTTCAGGGGTCAAGGGAAGGGCTGATGTGGGGGAAGCTCACTGGCCAGAGGGATCCAGTAGAATGACGGTGGCAGCTAGGGCGAGGGCTACGAGAATGGAGGTCAGAATCTCCACAATGCTTTTTTGTTCCTCAGGGCGCTGGACACATGGTCCCCACGGACAAACCCCAGGCTGCCTTCACCATGTTCTCCCGCTTCCTGAAGAAAGAGCCATACTGATGACTTCGGGGAGCAGTACCCACAGCCTGATCCAGCTCTCAGCCCCTCTCCTGGCAGGGAGGACCCCTTTATGGACATGCCCCTGCGGGGCAGGTCCCTGCTTCAAAACCTGCTCCTCCTTCCCAGCATCCCAGAAGAGCACAGTGCCTGGCTTCCACAACCCAAGGCTAGTAAGCACTTTTATTTCTACAGCACATGCTGGCTGTGGGGGCCTGGTCCTTTTCCCTATTTAGCAAATGCCTTCTAATGCACTGATCCCAACCTGGGAACCCCGCTTAGTTCAGGAGGACCCCTGGGGGGAGGGGTGGATGGCCTGCCATTGATGTGATTGACTAGAATTATGGAATTAAATTGATGCAGCTTAACGCCCTGTCTTCTCTGTGGGACCAGGGGCTAAAGGGAGTGTGGAGGAATGGGCAGAGGGGTCCAGAGTCCTGAGTGGTAAAGTCAGAGAACTCAGGCAGCTACCATGGAGGGAGAAGGGGTGCTAGGTGCCTACGGGTCCGCGGCTTTGGTGGGCTGGTACTTCTCAATCACCTCGCGCAGCCCCTTGGCAAAGTGGAGGTCAGCTCCAATGGTGAGGAAGCCCTGTGCAGGAGGTAGAGGGGGGATCTTATTCGTTCATTCACTTACCTGGCCCAGAGGTTAGAGAGAAAGTTTGGAGAGGGACCCCCAGTCTAGGAGAGTAGGGCAGTTGAAGGGTACTGAAACAAAGGCTGAGGAAGCAGTATAGAAGGTATCACGGAGGGCTTCCGAGAGGAGGTGACCTTTTAGCTAAGGCCTAAAAGAGGAGGAGGAACTGGGGGTGAAATCGTGGAAGTGTGGGGGCATGGCCTGTGCACAGGACCGGAGGTGGCTGATGTAGGACTACAATGGATGGGGCAATCCAGAAAGGCGAATTGGGGTTGGGTGCTGGAAGACAAGGGCCCTGGGACTCTGTCCTCCACACCAGCCCCACTCACCGCATGGTTCCTCACCACCTCTCTCACAAAGTTGATGCCCTCGGGCAGTGGGATCTGCACCCCACGCCGAGTCCGAGCTGTAAGGGGACCGGGCAAGGCCAGCAGGCTTAGTCTGGGCCAACCCAGCTCCCTTCCCTTTCTCCTCCCGCCTCACATCCCAGCCCTACCGTTGAGCATGGGCATCACCCCAACCTGCAGCATGGCCTTCAGGGGGTCCTGCAAAGGGATCAGCTGGGAGGGAAGAGGGGTGAGGTCAGGGCAGCAGATGAGGGATAGGCTGGCCTTTACTGCCCACCCCTGGCTGCCCTGCCATGCCCTACTCACTGCCAGGGACTCCAATGCAGACTGGTTGGAGTAGATTCGAAACCTGCAGGAAAGACAGTGCTGAGTGAGCCAGAGCCCTTGAGGTGTCCCTTTCCTAAGGCCTTCCATGCCCGAGTGCCAATCCAATGTCCCACCTATACATTTCCTGGTAGGCTCTGCCAGTTTGCAGATGTAGGCAGTCTTGAGTCATTTCTCTTTAGACCGCAAGGTTAGTGGTTCAAACTCACCAGCCGCTCCTTTGGAAATGTACAGGGTTGCTTCCACGGCACTTGAGAACAATAACCATGTATTTGGCAAGACTTCCTATATGCTAGACTTCTGTTGATACCATTGTATGTATTATTTTCATCTTGACAAATCTTAGTGTTTATTTTCTGCTAGATGCTAAGCATGTTACAAAAGTGAAATTAAAATGTTATATGTTTTAAAATACCAACTGATTTAAGCCTCATAAGCACCCTAAGAGGGAGGTGCTATTATGATCAGCACTTTATAGATGAAGCAATAGAGGCCCAGAGAGGTTACGTAATTCTACTAAAGTTGCACAGCTCCATAAGTAGCAGAACCTGATTCTAGAACCTAGGTTCTTTACCACTACCCTGCAATATTTCATTTAACTTCCTAGAGAAGTGCTGTCCAATAAAACTGAAATGTTCTGTATCTGTAATTTTCAGTAGGGTAACCAGTTGTTGTTATGTGCCGTGGAGTCGGTTCCACAGAACAGCTGGTAGTTTCGAACTGCTGACTGTAAGGCTCGCAGCCCGATTCATAACCACTACATTACCAGAGCTCCTTGTGGTAACCAGTAGGTGGTTTGAATCCACTCAGAGGTGCCTTGGAGGAAAGGCCTGGTGATCTACTTTAAAAAAAAAAAATCAGCCCCATTTCCTTACTTCCCTATGGAGCACAGTTCTACTCCAAGGACACACATGGGAGATGCCACATTTGGAGACGACTTCACAGCAAATGGTTTGGTTTTTCAGCCACTTGTGGCTAAGCATTTGAAGTGTGGCTAGTGTGCATGGCTGAAGAACCATTTAGTTAAATAGTAGCTAATGTTTATCAGGTTAAGTGTCATTGAGTCAGTTCCAACTCTGAATAGGATTTCTGACCCTGAATAGGGTTTCCAAAGAGTGGCTGGTGGGTTTGAACCACTGACCTTGCAGTTAGCAATCCAGTTCTTATCTCACAGTGCCACACCAGCAGAGCATATTCTCAACCAAAGCAAACCTTAGAAAGTCAATGGTCTTTGTACCTGCGCTTAACAGATGAAGAAAAGGAAGCTTAAAAAGATCACGTGACTGGCTTCTAGGTGGCTAGGCTAGTAAGTTGTGCTTAGCTTCATTGCCAAAATCCTAGTTTTTACTGGATTCCAATCCCTAGACATGAACTGCGTGGTTGCTATTGAACTTCACTGGGCAGCTTGCTCATCTCTCATCCCTGCACTGCCTGCCTGTGGGATGTGAGAGAAATTCCGCTTTAATAAAGCACTTTGTATGCAGGAAGGCCCAGCTTACCAGAGACTTCTAGGTACTACTGCATTTGAACTCCATGGTTCTGTTGGGCAGATGTGTATGTCCTGAAGCCATGGAGGCTCAAAAAGGACAAGGCTCAGGGCCATTGCGTCTCTGCCTACCTGCGCAGGTCCAACTGCGTGCGCAGAGCCTTTCCTCGGAGGGCCATCTTAGCGCTGAGCTGGGCGTCCTATGGGAAAATGGGGAGAGGTTATTGACTGGAGGGGGACACAGCCCACTTCTTTCTGACCCTCGGCAGCCCCCACTCTGGTGGCCGCACCATGATCATGCTGGACAGCTGGACCTCAGGCTGATCCGGCGGGACCAGGGCGATGGTGACACTTGCGGTGACAGAAATGGTGGTGCCTGAGGGTTTGATGGTGCACCTTGGTGGTGCTGTGACTTGCAGCAACAGCTTCAATGGAGAGTCGATCACGGTTGGGTTCTGAGAGAGAGAGTGGGAGGGTGAGTCAGTTCCCAGACCTGTCCCCTCATGAGTGCCTGGGGAAGAGGGGGTGATGCAATCTTTGCCCTCTAGGATCTGACAAATACACAGCCTGGTCTGGCTAACAGACCTTACCAGACCTGCTTGTGATCCCTGTGCCTTCATCCGCTTTGTAGACCTTCTGGAAATGTCATGTTCCTCCTCTCTGCTTTCCTTAAATTCTCAAGATCCATTTCTAATCCACATGCCTCAGGGACAGCTTCTTTGCATGAAATACCCCAGTCCATCCCTCTAAATGGAGTCCTGGTGTGGTGCTGTGAGCTAATGTGTTGGACTGCAAAGTCAGTTTGAACCTCAAGGTTGGCGGTTCAAGCTCACCAGCCACTCCTTGGAAGCTCTATGGGTTGCTGTGGGTCAGAATTGACTCAACAGCACTTAGCAACAGCAACCCTTCTAAACTGCTGTGCTCTTCCTTCTACAGATGGTGTAGGAATCCTCACCACTACTGTTGATCAGATGCCTGCCCTTTACTGGGCAGGATCCAAAATACTTTGCATGCGTTAGCTCCTGTGAGCTGTGAGGCAGGTACTGCTATTATGCCCATATTAGAGACATGAAGACAGAGAGCGATGCTGTAGTTGAGCACAGCTGGGATTCCAGCCCAGGCAGTCTGACAATAGTGTTCATGTTCGACCGTAGAGTCTGCTCATGATAAACATAACGATAGTAGTAATAACATGGCGTTTATTGAGCACTTACTCGGTACCAGATGCTGTTCTAATTGCTCGTCACGTATTAATTTAATCCTCATCACAACTTAGTGGGGAAGCTCTGGTAGCGTAGTGGTTACGAATCGGGCTGTGAACCTTAAGGCCAGCAGTTCGAAACTACCAGCTGCTCCGCGGGAGAAAGATGAGGCATTCTGCTCCCGTAAAGATTTACAGCCTCGGAAACCCTGTACAGGGTCGCTATGGGTCGGGACCGACTCGACGGCACTTAACAACAACAACAACATCATAATGTTGTAAGGAGCTCTGGTAGCATAGTGGGTACGAATTGGGCTGCGAACCACAAGGTCAGCAGTTCCAAACTACCAGCTGTTCCACGGGAGAACGATGAGGCTTTCTGTTCCTGTAAAGATTTATAGCTTCAGCAACCCTGTACAGGGTCACCATGAGTCAGAACCAACTCCACGGCATATAACCACCAATCACCACCATAATGTTGTAGGGGAGAGAGTCAGTGTGACCTGGAACCACACAGATTCAAACCCAGGTTCAAATCCCAGCTCCATCACTGACTACACTGAACTCATCCCCTCATGATAATGGAAATATTTTCTTTTTAAAATGTTTAACTCTCATACCCCTCACTACACAAAGGAAAAGAAGCCAAAAGAATACACAAGTATTGTTGTGTGTTATTAAGTGCCGTCGAGCTAGTTCTGACCCATAGCAACCCTGTTGCGTTTCTGAGGAGCGGCTGGTGAGCTTGAACTGCCGACCTTGCAGTTCAAACCAACTTTGCATCCTAGTGCATTAACCCACAGTGCCATGATGAAAGCCCCCTGCAGTGCTAGGCCTGGGTTCCCCCCATCCATTCCATGGCTCTGTGAAAGACAAGACAGGGAGCAACAATCCACCCACACAGAGATGGAAACAGCTCCCAGGGAGGAGACAGAAGGCCTGGCCATGAGCAAGAGGCCAGGCCTTCTGTCTACTCCCTGGTGGCTACTGAGGCCAGTGGGTGCCTGCACCTTGCCCCAGTCCCCTCCTCAGGGCGTGTGCCCCACTCTGACCTGCCGTCAGTACTCACCAACAGGACAATGTTCCCAAAGTAGGAGGCCCGCAGCAGCATGTCCAGATTATGAGGCACCTGGATGGGATAGGGGAGAGGCAAGGTTACCTGGAGCTCTGGCTGTGGCCCTCGCTTGCCCAACCCCCATGTGGGGATCCTGATGTACCTTGTCCCCCACCAACGAGAGCTGAAGAGCCCCTGCCCGGAAGTAGCTCTCCAAGGCAGAGTCAAAAAAGAACTCTGAGAAGGCCACATACACCATACGCTCCTCCTCCTGTAGCTGGGCTTCCACCGCCAGGTTGGTTCCGCTCCAGTTGCTATCAGACAAAGGGAAGAAGGCCCCCTGGGAGTGTAGGGGTCCGAGTCAAGGCACACAGGTTCTACCAGTGCCTCCCAGCCCTGTCTCGGTACTATAGCTGGTGGCCAGGGATTGGACCCAGGTGCAGCCCTTGAGGGATCACGTCTCTTAAAAGGCATAGCTGGAGGTCTGGTCGCACAGTGGTTATGAATAGGGCTGCAAACCGCAAGGTCAACAGTTCAAAACTACCAGCTGTTCCAAGAGAGAAACGTGAGCCTTCCTGCTCCCGTAAAAATTTACAGTCTCAGAAACTCTATACAGGGTCGCTATGAGTCGGAACTGGCTCCACGGGATACCACCACCACCACCACCATGTCATTGGAGGAAGGGTCAGGACATGTCACACCTGGATGGTAATAGTAATAGTACTGTTGTTGTTGGCTGCCGTGGAGTCGGCCAACAACTCATAGCGGTGCCATGTACAATGGAACCAATTGCTGTGCTCAGCTCTGCACCATCCCCATGGTGGGTTATGCACTGGACTCCTGTGATCCATAGGATTTTTACCGTCTGAACGCTCTACTGAAACCCACTGAGAGCATCAGAACGACAAGATGGGTGGTGGCTCGCATGAAGTGGATTGGCTGGGAATCAAACTCAGGTCTCCCACCGGAAGGGGAGAATTCTACTCGTGAACCATCACCACCTCACAGCGACTTTTTGTCTGTTCATTTCCTACTACCATTGGCGTGCTGGTGGAACGTCGTCGGATAAACACTTGACCTCAAGGTCAGTTTGAACCACAAAGTTGGTGTTTCAAACTCACGGCACTTAACAATAACAATAACACTGCCATTGAGTCGATTCCAACTCATAGTGAGTTTATGTAGGATTTCTGAGACTATAAACCTTTGCGGGAGCAGAAAGCATCCTTTCTCCCAAGGAGTGGCTGCTGGTTTCAAACTGCTGACCTTGTGGTTGGCAGCCCAATGCCACCAAGGCTCGTTTATACAGTAATTATTTTGGGCCAGGTACTATTTGGAGTCCTGGTGTGGCACTGCAGGTTAATGTGCCAGGCTGCCAGGTCAGTTTGAACCGCAAGGTCGACGGTTCAAGTTCACCAGCCAATCCTCAGAAACCCCATACAGGGTCGCTATGAGTTGGAACTGACTCAATGGCACTTAACAACAACAGGTACTATTTAATGCCTTTACATAGATCGATTCCTTTAATCCATATACCAAATCTATGCGGTATGTTTTCTTAGTGTGTTATTTCCACTTACATATTAGGAAACAAGCCTTTGGTTAAACCAAAAGATTGGTGGTTCAAACCCACTCACCAGCCCTTCTATAAAGATGAGAGTCTAGAGAACTCTATGGAGCCATTCTACCCTCTCACATGAGTTGGAATCGACTCAACAGCATCCAGTAACAGTGTTAGGAAACAGAACCAGACACAGTTAAGATTTGAACTTCAGCATCTGGCTCCAGAATCTATGCTCTGAAACGCTGTGACATTCCACTGAGAGACGCTAAGAGTAGTGGTTATGAGCAAGGCTGGTCAGGTACTAGTTGTGTGACCTTGGACAAATGACCTCATCTCTTTGAGTAACTTTCACATCCTTAAAATGGGTGTATTGTTAGTACCTGACTCAGGATTGTAAAAAGATAAAATGGAATTACATGCATAGAGCTTTATGTCCAACTCCTTTGGGGGTATAGGACCAGCATAAGCAAAGGCCCTGAAGCCAAATTTGAACCCATGGCTGGAAGGGGCCCACTCAGGTGCTGGACCCCAGCCTCTTCCCCAGCCCCACTCCAGCAAGGGACATATTTTGGGGACAGAGTAACTGCAGAAAAACAGGATAAAGTTAGAAAGATTAGACCAGATAAGATTAAGAAGGCTCGAATGCCACACATAAAAGGTCAGACTTAATCCTCTAGGTACCAGGGAGCCACAGCATTATAATGGAGTGGCCTCATCAGAGCTGTGTTTTATGATGATAAAACCAACAACTCAGGGGAGTAGGCAAGAGGGTCCAGTTAGGAGGGCAGAGATCATCCATATATAGCCCAACAGCTCACCCGGAAGTCCATGTCCAGATTGCTGGTGGAGGCCACAGGATCCTTCAAGAGGGAGTAGTCAATGCCAACAAGGTCATCCACAGAGCTGCGCACTGAGGGAAAAGCGCAAGTCACTCGGGGCTTGACCTTGACCAAGATGCTTTAAGTAAGTTTCACAGCCTTTTACATACCCTCTCTGGGCCCCTGCTCCTCATCCACAAAACTATGATAATAGTGCTTCTTTTACAGTGCTGTTATTAGGATTCGGTTCGTTTAAAGTATAAAAACACTTGGTGCCTGGTGTGTAGTGCTCAATATTATTATTACTGTTCTTACAGTGGTTTCAAGTCACTAAGAGCAAAATGGCCTCTCCTTCCCTCCCCTGACTGTGTGGCGTGTCATGGTACATGGTTCTCTCCCCCACAGCAGGCAGAGGGCACAGCTCAGAAGAAAGGGATTCACATTTGAACACCCATGAAATGCCAAAGAGCCCTGGTGGTGCAGGGATTTAAGCATTAGGGCTGCTAACCTCACCAGCCATTCTTCAGGAGAAGGATGAGGCTGTCTGCTCCCATAAAGATGTACAGCCTCGGAAACCCTATGAAGCAATTCTATCCTGTCCTCTACAGTGTCTCTGTGAGTCGGGTTTGGATTGCTTTATCAAGTGCCAGGTGATGAACACAATGGGCTTCCAATGATCCGCAAGGACATACTGAGAAGTCTGCAAGATGTTAATCATCACAAAGGGAGGTATCGCTAGCCAACTGAGAAACCAAGTCTCAGAAAGAAGGGTATACTTGCCCGAGGCCACACAGAAAGTGGGCAGAGGAGGCAAAATTTGAACCCAGGGCTGGAAGGGGCCCACTCAGGTGCTGGACCCCAGCCTCTTCCCCATCCTCCCTCTAGTCCAGGGACTGGCCCAGGGCTCCCAGCTCCCCCAGCACCAACTCACCAGGCACGGTGGCCAGGAGGGAATTGAGTAGCACCATCCCTGCATGGTAGAGCACTGGGCAGATCTGGGAGGTGGGGCCAGAATCAGAGGCTTCCAGGTGAGACCACGCCCATCCCCCACCCCACCCACCCTCCTCACCCCCAGCCCCGCTGCCCTGCTACTGTCCACACCTGCTGGTTGAGGAGGAAGCGCATCCCTGAGGTGATGAATGTGGACAGGAAGTCATACACCTTCCTGTGGGAAGACAAGAGGTCGGGTGAACCCAGACTCTGCTCCACCCCAACTTGGATCAGGAGGAATCCCAGTGATGCGATGATGGTGGTGGTGGGTTGATGTGAATTAGCAGCTCATTCATGACCCAGTCCAAATCTCTCCAGTCTGATTCTCAAGCCCTTCTCTCCGACCATCTGTCTCCCTCCAGCCAAATGAATCCCCCATAGTTTCCCAGTCTCGCTCTGAGCATCCGACTTCCATATGCTTACTCCCAGCCTCCCTCAGTGCTCTCTGCCCTGTCTTGGCTCAAATGCTCCTCCAAGCAGTCTTCCCAGATGCCCCTCCTCTGAACCTCCAGAGTCCTGACTTGGTCCCTCTCTAATGACTTTAATGACAAAATGTGCTGTCCTTCCAGCTGGGCTCTGAACTACTTTTGGAATCCTCAGTGCCTGGCATATAATTTGCTAAATGAAAAACTGACATCAAATGATAAATCCACCATCTTCCAGAACCAGCAAAAGGTCCCCTTCTCAGCACACAATCCAGAACAATGTTAGTTACTTTTTTGTTGTTATTGTTGTTGTTAAGTGCCATCGAGTTGATTCTGACCCATAGCGACCCTGTATAGGGTTTCCAAGGAGAAGCTGGTGAGCTTGAACCAGGAGCTGCCAATTGTTAAGAAACGCTTGTGTGCACGCTAGCCCTTGCAATTACTCTAAGTGGTTAGCACTCAGATAAGCATTCATTATATGCCAGGTACTGTGCTAAATATTTTTACATATATTATTCCTAATTATCCTCATGACAATCTTATAAAATGGATCTATTGTTATCCCCATTTTAAAGATGAGGCAGTCGAGGCACAGAGCTTCAGTGACTTGCTCAAGGTCACACAGTCAGGAGGTGATAGAGTTAGGACTTGGATCCAGTTGGTCTGACTTCCATATCTATGCTCTTTACATTGCCCTAGTCACATGGGTTATGGGGCTCTGAGGGGGGCTCTGGGCTTGCAGATAGAGCTTACCTGAAGGTTCCTCCAAAGGCAATGTGCATTCTGGAGACAGAAGCCTGGCAGGAGATGTTGGACACCTTAATCTGGCCACTGGGGCCCCGGGAGAGCTCCAGAGCGGTGTAGATGGACAGGCCCTGGGCTGAGGCGTTGATGTAGCCCCCATCGTAGCTGCAATGGGAGATAACTGCTCACCTCAGCTTGGAGCTTCACTGAGTCATCCATCACTGTCCTCCTGTCCCCACCCATGCATTATGTGCTGTCAAGTCGGTTCTGACTCCTAGTGACCCTTGTATAGGGTTTCCAAGGAGCAGCTGGTGGGTTTGAACTGCTGATCTTGTGCTAATCCTACAGCACTACACCAGTTATGTTGTTATGTGCCGTGGAGCAGAAAGCCTCATCTTTCTCCTGCAAAACAGCTGGCAGTTTTGAACTGCTGACCCTGAGGTTAGTAGCCCAATTCGTAACCACTACGACACCAGTTATTTATTTTTGTTGTTGTTAAGTATCATGGAATTGATTCCGACTCATAGTGCCCCTGCACAGGGTTTCTGAGGCTGTAAATCTTTACGAGAGCAGAACGCCTCTGGTACCTGGCTGGAACCGCTGGTAGTTTCGAACTGCTGACCTTGCGGTTGGCAGCCCAACTCGTAACCACTACGCTACCAGCGACACCAATTACAGAAACTCTTAATTTAATAGAGCTTCACTTCTTCACAGCCTACCAAACATCATACCTACCCTTACGTATAGAAGAAGAAACGGAGACCCTCAGCCCTTCTGACCCGCCCCTCCCTGGTGCTGGCTCCTCACAAGAACCAGTAGAGCAGCTGTCTCCGGAAGCGCAGACCCAGGGAGGCGTTGGTGATTTGTAATATCAGTTCCTGCTCCGGGTGGAAATGGAGCTCAGAGGAGGTCAGCTGCAATTCTGTGACCTTCACCCTGTGGAGATCATTGGAGTCAGATCCAGGGCTGGGTCCTCTCAAAAAGTCCTGGAGACCAGGGGCCTGTTCACATCACCCAGAGTCAAGAAGAGGGGCCCCAGTGCCTCCTCTAGTCCAAGCCTGGGAAGTTGGGTTTGGCAGAATGACTTCTCTTCCTAGGCCCCTCAAGTGTCAAACTTGGATTTGGGTGGCTCAGAGATTTGTCCTGATCCAGATGCTAACTGTCCTGAATTCCACCCCTGGTTGTCTGCACTCACTCCCCTCCTATATGCTGAGGTTGCTTGACTTGGTCTTCTAACTGGCTCCTTGGGCTTCACCTTCATCATCTAAACTTCATCCCCTCTCCCGATTTTCATGTTTCTCACTCCATCCTAAAGGCTCAAGTTTTATCTCTGGATTGGATCGCTTGTATCTCCAGCTGGGATGGCCGACATCCCACTCTTATCCTTTGGCCAAGTTTTTTGACTTCATTCTCTTAGCTTTCTGACTATGTCCTAATACCACTGGTCCTGAGTTACTCTCACATTTTCTAGGCAGCGCTGCACCTATTTGCTTGATCCAAACTAAGTTGCCTTGTTGGCCTACTCCTCCTTGGTCCCATCCTGTTTCTTAAATCCTGACTTCATCCAGTTGTCCATTCCACTGAGCCATCCTGTCTCCCCAGAACGTACCTAGTTAATAATCCCCGCCCCCATGTTGCCTAGGTTTGGCTTCATACCCAAAGCCCCACCTCAGGCCCCCTACTCACTCAGAGATGTTGTAATAGAAGTGTCCCTCTTTGCCACGCAGATCCGGAATAGTGATGGTCTCCAGCTCTTGCTCCAGAAAGCGCATCCCCTCCTGCTTCACTGAGGCAGCAATGAGACCTTTAGTGGCCCGCGCCCACGGTTAGGGCGATCCCACCCTAGTCCGTCTCCGCTGGCTTCCGAGTCCTTACCCAGCTCCAGCGCCTGGGAGGTGATGCGGATCTTGCAGCCCGGGAGCTCCGCATGAGCACCCGCCAACAGTGCTAGGAAGAGGGTCCCAAAAAGGGCCATGGCGAGCGAGCCTGAGGTGGGGGGTCACGTGAGTCATACCGGCCGCTAAAGCCCACTTCTCGGGCTTCCCACCAGGAGAAAGGGCTGGCCCAGATCATACTCTGGAAAGATCTCTTCTGGGAACTTGTAACCAATAATATTGGCTCCATTTAGCAGATGGGGAAACTGAGACTCAGAGAAGCGAAGAGACGTGCACTCGCTTCCAGAGGATTTGAGGCCGGGGGAGGGCGTTCTCCGTCCCTTAGTGCAACCCGCCGCGTGACGAATTTGGACCTCCAAGGGACCAGCCCCCCCTCGTAGCCTCCCTTTCCTTTAGCAAAGGGCGGGCACGAGTTTGCACGTTGTCATGGTAACGGTTGCAGGCGCATTCCTGGGGAGCGACTGCAGAGCGAAGGGGGGGCGGCCTCAAGCCTGTGGATTCTAAGGACGCCTGGCTCCCCAGGGTCCTAAATCCTGTTCTGCAGGATTCTGTCTGGTGGCCCCCATCTCATTGCCCTCCTCCATCGGTTCTCCTCCCCACCCCGGGTTCAGTAGACGGTGCGGCTTGCCCAGGGTCTGGGGTTGGAGGGAATAGGGACTCGGCGCCTCAACTCACGCAGCTGGGGATCTTGGGGTGGCGCGGTCAGGTGGTCAGCTGGGCAGTGCAGGGATCCGGGCGGCAGGGTCTGACCAGCAGCGAGGTTCCAGCGTCTTTATAAAGCCGGGCCTCCCCGCCCCCCTTTCCTTTCCCCCTTGACCCCTCCTCCCTCGGGCCTGGGAGGGAACTGGGCGGAACGATGGCAAGTCCGGCCGTGTTGAGACAAGTGGGGGACCCGAGCAAGGCAGGAGAGAGGGAAGCGCAGGAGCCGCCACCGCACCCGACCCTCACCCCAACAATCTCTGCTGCACTGGGACCTGAGTCAAATCTCTATTACCCATCTTTTCCTTCCTGGCACTTCACTTTGAGCACTGAGCCTCAATTTCTCATAAAGTAAAACGTGTGACAATAAGGACTACTTGTTAGGCCTTTACTGCAGCCCAAAGTCATTTTTTCCTTTCCTTCCTCCCACAATCATGTCAAGACCTCTCCTTGTCTGTTTTCTCTAGGGGTGGGGGGGCTCCCAGCTCTCTGTGTGTTGCTACCTGGGGACCTTAAGTTCCCAGAAGCCTCTTCCACTTGGATCCAAGAACGTGCTGCAACCCAGAAGGTGAGAAGGAGTCACGTTCAGAGGGAGGATTGGTTTCCACAGGATGGTGAAGCTTTGGGTGCACCCTTGGAGCTAGGTGTTTGCACAATTCCTCTATCTACCACTTACAGCCTCCCCAGCTCCTAGGACAAGACATACAGTAGGTTTTTTATTGTCACCTGGACGAAAGAGGAACGGAGAAGCATTAATTGTCAATGATTGTTGAGCATGTATTGGGAACCAAGCTCTTACCTAGGTATGATGACCAATTCATCCTAGTTTGCCCAGGATATTCCTGATGTTGAAATGGAAAGTCCCCCTTCCTGGGAACCTCTTCAGTCTCACACAATCCAAAATAGAAAACCTCAGATATAGGTTAACTCTTGTAACCTTCTTAAGCCCCAAATCAAACCCATTGCTAGTTAGTTCATTCCAACTCATAGTGACCCTGTAGGACAAGATTGAACTGCCCAGTAGGGTTTCCAAGACTGTCCATCTTTCTTCTGCGGAGCAGTTGGTGGATTCAAACCACTGATCTTTTGGTTAGCAGCCAAGCAATTTAGCCACCATGCCAGCAACCAGGAATTTTTAATCTTCTAAAACAAACCCACACCAAACCAATTGCTCTTGAGTCTGTTCTAACCCACAGTAACTCTATAGCAGCCCTGTAAGGTCAGTCCTATAGCAAGACGCTAAAGAAAATCCTGTTAAAGATTTCCCTCTTGGGAAACCCATAGACTGTGGGAGAGTGGGCTGTAAATTTTTTATAACCCAGTAACTAAATGCTTAGATTCTTGCATGTGATAGACCAGGGTTCAAATCCCTGTGCTGCTAATTCTTAAAGGTATGACTTTGGGTAGATTAGTTAAGCACTCTGAGCTTCAATTAGAAAAAAATAATTTAGAGTTCTTGGAAGAATAAATTAAATGGGATCATGTATATAATGTGCTCTGGAATTCCCATTCTTCACAATGTTATCTATAATTTGTTATGATCCACACAGTCAAATGCCTTTGCACAGTCAATGAAATAGGTAAACATCTTTCTGATATTCTCTGCTTTCAGCCAAGATCCATCTGACATCAGCAGTGTTGTGCCACATTCCACGTCATCTTCGGAATCCAGCTTGTTTTTCTGAACAATAAATAAGGAAGATTGAAGAAGAATTGACTCATTTGAATTATGGTGGTGACGAAGAATTTCAAATATACCATGGGCTCCCAGAAGAACAAATAAGTCTGTCTTGGAAGAAGTACAGCCAGAATGTTCCAGGAGCATGGATGACAAGACTTCATCTCATTTACTTTAGACATGTTGTCAGGAGGGACCAGTACCTGACAAAGGATATATGTTTGGTAAAGTAGAGGATGGACGAAAAAGAGGAAGACCCACAAAGAGATGGATTGATATAGTGCCAGAAACAGTGGGCTCAAATATATAAACAATTGTAAAGATAGAACAAGATGGGCAGTATTTCATTCTGTTGTACATAAGATCAGTATGAGTTGGAACTGACTCAATGGCACCTAACAACAGTAATATCTGGACATGGTACATGGCATACCATCATGATCAGGCTTGCTAAAGTAGATAATCATCAAAGAAGAGGAAGACCCCTTTAATTGACATAATATAGTTCACAAAGACAATATTCTGCATCCTACTTTAGTGAGTAGACACTAGGCTGTTAAAAACTCATGAGCAGTCATTTAAGGGGCAACTATTGGTCTCTCCCTGTCCTGTCTGTAGGAAAGAAGAGTGATAAAAATCAAAGACACATGGAAGCAATCAGTCCAATGTGTGAACATCATCAGTCTTCATAATCTTGAGACCAAAAGAACTGGATGGTGCCCAGCTACCACTACCAACTGATCTGAAAGGAATTAAATCAGAAGGTCCTAGATAAAGCAGGAGAAAATGTGGAACAAAACTCAAAATCAGATAAAAAGACCAGGCGGCCTGAACTACATCCAGATCTCCAGAGATGGGAAATTCCCTCTTGAAAGGACAAGCAGACCAGCCTGGAGCGGCTAGAAGAACAGAAGATATTTCTTGAAAGACCTACAGGAAAAATACAAAACAATAGAGGCAGATGGGCTGTTACTACAAGAACAAACAAGTAGCTTGCCCAGGAAACATAAAGGCAAGTGGTCAGGTCCCCTCAGTGCAAACCCCCTTCCAAGACTAAGACTCAATGGGAATACACTCTCTAATTGGTGACCACGCTCGTCACCAATAAGGGGATGTGAGGGAAAACAGCAATGAAGCGGCGAGCTAAGCCCTACAATGTGGAGAGTGAAGCGTTTAGCTGATAAAAAGAGAGGGCATATGCACAAGAACACCCACACTTGCAGATAATACCCACTTGACCTGGCTTCAATGACTGGATGATCAGAACTCAACCAGAAGAAGAAAGAAGAGGAAAAAAAGAGTAATTGGATACAATTTGATGAACTTGACCTACAATTATGGATGCAGTAGCTCAAAAGAAGGAACAAATCCTTACAGCAAGAATCATTCCCACCCCCTCCACACAGAGTAGACAGGGATGGGCAACTTGGACATTGGATACCCAAAATGGGATGGGGGAGGGGGCTACAAAGGCAAGAAGTGACTGACTTACAAGCTTTCAAGAGGGAACCTAGATCCATAGGGCCAGGAGGAAGGCAGAATCTCTAGTGAGTAGTATCCAATCTGTCTAGGTGGGGCTGATGAAATGAAATGCAGACGGGTCTCTTGTGATACAATAGTGAATAATTGTTATCAGGACTGATTGTGAGGGTTGGAAATGTAAAGGTAGGCGTTTTGTAGCAAGGAAGGGAGTGATTAACTTTCCAGTCTAGGAGCGGAGGTCCTTAGGACCATTAACGGAGAAGAGCAGAGTGCGGGACCCTACCCAGAGAAGCAGTGATGCCTGAGACGGAGGCAGAGATGATGACGTGGAGAGATGGAGCAGCTGGGGACTTTAGATCCAGAGAGGGAGAGGGTCTGTGTGCTAAAGACCGGGGGGAGGAGTGTGGGGGGCAGGCTTGCAGGGTATACCCTTTGGTTGGTTGATGATGCATGGAGGAGATTGTAACCATGGCAATGAAACGATATATGAAAGAATGACTGTAAAACTAATGTTTTCCCATGTAAACTATCACATAACTCACAATAAAACATTTAAAAAAAAAAAAAAACAGGTTTACTGGTCAGATTAAGACTTGTGGAAACCCAAGACTATGGTTCTTGGTCACCTTTCAGATCTGGAACTACATTCATCTCCATGGCTCAATTTTCAGTCAAGCAATAGATAGGTATAGAGCGGACAACAAAACTAGTGAGGGACACACACCCTAGAATGAGCAACCATTCATGATCAAAAGGACAACATTGCCTAAGGACGAGGTTTAGAAGGGTTGGGAAAGAAGGAGGAATGGAAACAGGAAACACAGGGAAGAAATGGGGACTAAGTGAGGTTACTTTGAGGGGATAGCAATCATTGAGATGAATCCAAGTGTATGATTTATTGAATTTAAAACTGATGATCTGCTCTGAAAACCTTCGCTCAATTCACAATAAAAAGTTTGAAAATAAAATAAAATATTAAACGGAAACAAAAAAGAGGAAGAATCTCAACAAGATGAATCCACTCAGTGGCTGCAACAATTGGCTGAAGCAAAGATTGAGACAGTGGTACAGAACCAGGCAGTGTTTCGTTCTATCCTACGTGGGGTCACTATGAGTCCGAATCCATTTAACGACACCTAACAACCCTGGTTACGAATCGGGCTGCGAACCTTAAGGTCAGCGGTTCGAAACTACCAACCGCTCCAAGGGAGAAAGATGAGGCTTTCTACTCCCGTAAAGATTTACACCCTCGGAAACCCTGTACAGGGTCGCTGTGGGTCGGAACCGACTTGACGGCACTTAACAACAACAACAACAACCCTGGTAACGTAGTGGTTACAAATCAGGCTTTTAACCTCAAGGTCCGCAGTTTGAAACTACCAGCTGTTCCGCGGGAGAAAGATGAGGCTTTCTGCTTCCGTAAAGATTTGCAGCCTCGGAAACCATGTACAGGGTCGCTATGAGTCAGAACCGACTCCACGGTAGTTAACAACAACAAAAATATGACAGGCCTACAAAGTACAAGTGAACAAGGCAGAAAGGGTATAAGAGAGGAACAGAGAAAGTGCTAAGGGCTTCCGGTGGAGGAAGTCTCTAAGTGCTGGTCTGAGATTTCTTTAAACTCCAGTAACCCTGGGCCCTTCTCAAGCAGAACACCTGGCTGTGTTTTCTTTCCTCTTTTTCCTAACATGCAAACTCAGACTTTGTGTCATTTTTATCTCTTGAAGGGCCATGTTCCCTGAAAATTACAGGCCTGCCAAGAGGCCAAGTGATCTTGGGCCAGTGGTTTAACCTCTCTGGGCCTCAGTTTCCTCATCTGTAAAATGAGGATAATAAATGAAGGACCTCCATCCTCAGGTTGCTGGTGAGGATTAAATGATTT